ATTAAAGGACAAAAAATGAATACAAATTTGTAATAGCTATTGTCTAGAAAAGGAAAAAATTACACTTTGCAGACGCCACGCATTCACTGATTTTATTTTTTAATCATAAAACATTAGGAACTGCTGAACATATTTGTGAGCTTACACTACCATGATGTATTAATATTTGAGGGACTTTTTTGGAAAAAAAAGTGAGATTGATAAATAGTAATTTGCTAGTTTAAAAGCCAACAGGGAACCATTGCACAATCTCATTTTGATTTTGTGAAAAAAATTTGACCGAATGATCTTTAATAATTTAACTATTATGATAATTCGGAATATCTTCAGAATTATGGTGACTTCTATGCCAAATCTTCTGGAGCTAGTGAAACCAACGGCCAATTGCCTAGATACCACAAAGAGGAAGACAAGTGGCTTAAGGAAGTTTTGGTAAAACCAAGTTGCTTAATTTCTTCGTTGTAGAAAGATCCAAGTTCGTGTCTCTCTGGGCATTGGGTGGCTCCAGAATCACATCACTGCGGTAAGCTCTGATATTTTCTGCATGATTTCTTTATGTTTCGATTCTTTTGGGGTAATTAGGGTACGCCAAGAATACGTATTGCTGAGGCCAATTTTGCTTGAACGTAAATTGCACGCATGCCATCCAACATCTTTGGGTTCTATCCCTATCGAGCTGAAGGGATTCATTCAATTGGAAAAATTGATTTTTGCTGCCGGGTGTTCTATCATTGCGACAAAATGACTCGACTGAATGAGTAATGATTTTTACTTTGTTTCTCCATATATTATTATCCATTTTTTTGTGTCTGAGTCCGGTTTATCTCTAACCCTATGTGGGAACGTGAAAACATCCTATTTCGGGACTATTTCGTATTTTCCGAAACTACCATTCTTGATTGTCTCAAAACAATTTCAAGTGCACCCTTATTCGATCTCGTTTTACAACTACAATTTAAAAAGAAAAGAAACTAATCTCCAACAGGCAACAATCGCACCCTTTGAGCCAAGAGCTACATCCCTTCTATACTAGTACAATAGTGTTAGGGCCATACCCTTCTCGTTTAGATTCATAGCATCGTTGCCGATTCCGATGAATATGGCCTACAATCTTAGCTTCCTCGAGTTGAATAGCAACGTTACTTGAAGTCAAAGTTAAGAATGTGATTATTGTTCTCCCATGGCACACACCTAAACTGGCCATTGCAAATCTCTCTAGCCAGGTTGCTTTTAAAATTACTCCAAGATCAATGGCCCAATACACCGTCAACTGTGCTTTCATCAACAGCTCAAGAATATTAAAATTTGATATGGCACCAGCTTTACAAATTCGAAACTGACACGATTTAACACTTGTTAATCTTTTTCCAATTGAAAAAAATTTACATTGAAACACTTTATAGTGATAAAAAAAAACAATACTAATAGTAAGGACAAATGGAATGACACAAACGAAAAGAGAACACTATAAAGAAAGAGATGCCTATCGAAATTTAAATTATGAGGATAGTAGAAAAAACACACACAGTGTATAGGTATATTTGAGAGATAACTAACATGATTCTTATTCCATTCAAATTGTAATGTATCAGTCAACATCATCTTTCTCAATCATATGTTTAGATAAGGGGTTTCTTCTGCAATTGTGTAGGAGGATTCCATGGATAACAAAGATCAAACTTTTGGGACAATCCATTACACCTACAAGGACCATCGGCAAAGATCTTCCAAAGACACGCCCCGCAGTCTGCTTTTTCCGTGCCTTGCACATATATATCAAAATACTTAAATTGACCCGGCCATGCAAAGCTGCAAAAGAATAATGTATTCCAAATAAAATAATTGGGATTGAATGAGAATCCCCAGTTGTGATATGTTATATCATGGAATCCGAGATCATCGTCCTTGGATTTGCAGTGAACTGTTAGAGGAGTTCCAATCGGCAAGTTGTTATTGATCTCAACATATACCTTGCCACAAACATCTTTTACACAACTAGTTAGGAATAAAGAAAAAATAAATATGGGCTTAGCTAATGAGTTCATCATTGTGGTGTACATGGCTCCATATCAACATCATTCAACTATTTAAGGATGGAGAATGGAGGATCTCTTATTTCTTGCCATAACCGTATTACTGCTCCTACTCTGGGATTATAATTTCCAAATTCCTGTGATTTTTTTTTTCCATCTTTTGATTTTTTTCCTTTTATTGAAGTTTCCTTTTTTGCAAATGCCATGCATTCACTGATCTTTGGGATAAGGATTGGTATATTACCTTTTTTTTTCCTTCTTTTAGAACCTGGGATAAGAATTTTGTATTACCTTTAATATTCTTTCCTTTTTACTTTGGTATAAGAATTTCCATATTATCTTTTATGTTTCCTCTTTTTACTTTGGGATAAGAGTTGCCATGTAAGATCAGCTACAAATCAAGTATAATATTTGAAGTATAGCTTCATTTTGTTTTTGGTCGATAATGTATGGCTTAATTAAAGGAAAGAAAACCAAAACAACTTTGTTATAGCTATGGTCTGGAAAAGGAAGCAATTATACTTTACAGATGCAACGCATGCACTGATTTTATTTTTTAATCATAAAAATGTCACATCCTCACTTAGACTGGCCAAGTAAACCAAGCTTATTGGACCACTTGTGCCTAGGCCTACTTAGTATAATCTAAGACTCGTAATTGCCAAATCTTAGGCTCTTAAATGTTAAGACCACTTGGGAAATTATTGGCCAAGTAAATAACGTCATTATTATGAGCCTAGATGAACACATAAGCAAGTTAGAGTGCCACCTCTTGCCATTAGTTAGGAAATGTGTAAAAAATCCGTTGGATCACTTAGCATACATTAATGAGGGTCATCGTTACAAGAATGAGTATAAATAGACCCTCCCCCTCAATTCCCCCCCCCCCCCACACACACACACACACACACACACACACACATCTCTCTCTCTCGGACGTATCGCTTGCCCTTTCCCCTTACCGCGGCCGTTCACTCACTCGCCCCTCTTGCCGTCGACCGTAGAGTGTAAGTGGAATCCCTAGAATTAAGTTAGGCGGCCCGTTTGTCGTTCATGCTTGGTTGTTTGCTTGAGTTTCGGTTTGATAATGATTTTGGTGTGTACAAGTCATTTCACGTCCAGGGCCATGGGCAAGTTGCGTACCGGCTGGTCATGAACCGATCTTGGTTGCGAGCCACGCCCCGTGCTTGGTCATATCATGGTCGCATGGGTATCACAACACTTGTTGCATATTACGCCTTCGAGCCATGTGTATGCTGGCTAAGTCGAAGAGTAAGAACCAATGAATCCGGGAATTGTTATGAAAATTTCATTCGCATGAACACTTAACGAAAGATAAGATCCGGCATTACTTGATGGTGGCGTCGATGCCCTGGTTGAGCCGGGATGCCTCTTGACAACGAGATGCCTCGGGGAGAGTTTCGGGATGCCCCGGTTGAGCCAGGATATACCGGTTGAGCCAGAATGTCCCGTTTGATGATGGGATGGATAATGATGAAAGAAGCCTTGCACATGTTCATGTTTCTTCTATGGTTACATGGTAAGACATAGATTCTTGACATGCATGTAGTTGAATAATTGCTTTAGCTTTGCTATTGATCTGCCATCGATACATAATAGTGGTCTATGTTCGTCTCACACATCTTCGTGCCAAGTTAGAGGGTAAATCGATCCCCTACCTTCGAGCTAGTGATTTTACTTGTTGAGCTTATCTCACTCCTTTCTTTCACAGATGTGTAGTATGGCTGCACACACCCTTCCTCCCCCCGTGTTTGGAGTCTCGATGAACATAGAATTTTCCTTTCATGACGTGATAAATGTGGAGGATGAAGTAACTTTTTCGTAGGAGTGACTCAACGGTTTGGATTAAAGTCGGGATTAACAAAATGGTCGCCCCATCGCTATTCTGCCTAGTTCGTCATAATAGACAAGGATCTTGTGGGGTCACTCCGGGGCTTCAGCAGCCCATCGGGACCCAACGGGTCTCTCTCTCCCATAGACGACCACGGACGGAGGAAGGACGAAGGGAACCAATTTTGGTAGAGGTGGATAGTATCCCCTAGTTTACCCTATGTATAAGTATGTAATGTAAGGGTCGTTATAATGCCCCACCATATAAAATGCATCGACGCCTAATAATATGAGTGTTTGATGTATCTTCGTGTTGTGATAGGTTTTCTTGGCACGCTTCCGCATGCTTATAAGAAAACTGAGAAAAGAAACGGATCGCGATGAGGGTGATGCGCCTGGGGCATCACTGTAATAGTGAAAAAAGGGAGTACAAAAAGCGTGACCTCTTGTAAAGCCATAGGTTTAAGCCAACGAAATTTTATTCCAAATTATCATTCCATTCCATTCTTATATTTTCCTTATGAACAAAGACTGATTTTGTTTATTTTGTGAAAAATGAATGATTTAGAAAATATTTTTTAGAAAGTGATTGCTTGTATTGCTTGAAATAATTAGTCAATAATAAATGTTTCATTATTAAATACAATTTATATCTAAATATCTTTGTGGAGAACGAAAATATTTTTCTTACATTCATTTTTGTAAGTGATATAAGTAATCATTTTTAGGAAAAAATTTTCTGAATAATTGATTTTCTGTGAAACATATGGAGTCACTCATTATTTTATTTTTTTTCACTTTATTTTTTCAGTCCATTATATTTCTCTTTTTTTTTTGTCAGAATAAAACTTTCCATTACTTTAGGGACAGATCCAATTACAACTTGAAGGAGCATCCGAACAAACAGGGTTCCAGATGGCTTGAGGAGGCCTAGAAGCCCAATTACAAGGCAGGACATTACATCTTTGGGCCTTTGCCAACCAATCAGCAACTTTGTTCGCCTCCTTGTTACAATGGGCTAAACGAGCTTCTAGGAATTGGGCCAAGAGAGTTGTGCACTCAGTGACAAGAGGAGCAACTTCCCACGAGGCCTGAGGTCAACCTGACAAAAAGGTAGCCATTCCATCGTGAGGGAATGAATCCAGTTTTGGCAGAAGATAAGTTTCCTCTCCCCAAGATAGATCTTGCAGCCATTGTGTTTTTCCTCCCTTCCGTATGAAATTGACCAAACCATTCTTTGATTCTGGAGACTGTGTGAAATCTGGATTTTTAATTGTTGGGTGGTTTGACTGATTTTCTGCTGAAAATTGGATTGGTGCTACCATTTGGATTGGGAAAATTAAACAGGAAGACATGACAAGTAAAGGTTGGAGATGGATTTTGGGGTTGATATACATTGTTGCCGTTGCCACCATTTGGATTGGTGCTAGTTTTTTGGTTCAGTCCGTGGTTCATTTAGGAGTTTCTCCTTTCCTTATCACATACATATGCAATTCATTGGTCATCATTTATATCCCCATATTTGAAATTGGGCGATATGTAGAGAAAAAGTATGGCAGTTTGTGGTTTTGGTGGAATAGGAAAAGTGATGATATTAGCCCTTTGCAAGGACCGGCGGAGTTGGAGATGGAAAATTTACTTGCAGAAGTGGATTTAGGTGTGAAAGCTGATGATCTGGATCCATCCATGTCTGCGGAGGAAGGCGAAATAAGTCAGCATGGAGGATCTGAGTATGAGAGTGAAAGGGCTTTGGATGATCGAGCTGTAATGGGTGAGGAGGCTGACAAGAGATTGGATGCAAAGGGACGTTGGACTAGGATGAGAGTCGCGGAAGTCAGCCTTCTCATTTGCCCATTCTGGTTCTTTGCGCAGTTCACTAGCAATCTGTCCCTAAAGTACACTAGCATCACGTCAAACACTATCTTGAGCACCTCATCAAGTCTATTCACATTTTTGGTCTCTCTGGCATTCTTGGGAGAGAAATTTACATGGCTAAAGCTGATTGCCGTTCTTCTATGCATGGGAGGAACGATCATTGTTAGTGTGGGCGACTCGGGGTCAGCACCTTCCCGAAAGGACACTGCTCTTCTTGGAGACATCCTGGCTCTTGTCTCAGCTGCCCTGTATGCTGTATACGTCACCTTGATTAGGAAGAAACTACCCGGTGATGATGAAGAGCAAGGTCAAGTCAGCATGGCTAAGTTCCTTGGATACCTGGGGTTGTTTAACCTCGTGCTATTCCTTCCTGTTGCCCTGGTGCTTCATTTTGCTAAGCTGGAGCCGTTTACTAGTAAAGGTGAGTAGCAAGGTGCATAATTTGATTTCTTTTCTTGATTTTCCGTTTAGTCATCTGAAACGCACCATGCTTTTATCGAAAAAAAAAACAGTGGTCAGGTCTACGGTGGTTTACTTGATTTTGATTATATTTTAAGGAGACTGCCGTTGCTTGTTGAATTTTTCTTTCTCTTGTTCTTGATATGACGTTTGTTTGATTCAGAATTCTGTTGATCTATAGTTTAAGCTATTGGATTTGCCAAAATATGCTGGAAGTTCCAACTCATTGATCTGCTTCTTTTACCCTTTCCCAATTCATACTCAGGTTTGTTAGATAATGTGCTGAGCGATTACTTGTGGGCCAAAGCCGTTCTTCTGACTTCTACCACCGTCGCAACAGCTGGTCTTACCATACAAGTTCCGTTGGCAGCTGTTGTAGAATCATTGACTGGCTAGGCGCCTCATCTCATGGAGTGCCTCGGCACAGTTGCGGTCCTGATTGGATTTGCAGGCATCATAATGCCTTCTGATGCTTTCAGCAGATCAACAGAAGCCAGTGTTGATCTCGAAAATGAAGACATTGGTAACCAAGACCATGCTTCTTCGCATGCTGACTGCTGAGAAATCGCAACCGTGTGTGGATATTTTTATCCAGTTTATTGCAAGGCATGTGCTATTCAGGCTCAACGATCCACCCATGCATGCAGAAGAGTCCTTCCTTACAGACGAAGAGTTTGAGTTCTTTAATCTTATGGAAGTTTACCATACAATGATCTCACTATCAGCTAACTTTAACGTACTTTGGCAGTCCAAGCACCATTCAGATGTTGGAATGCTTAAGGGACTAGTTTCTTCTGTTGTCAAGGAGCTGGTTGTTGCTATAGGTTGTCTTCTAGACATAGAATACGAGGTTATTGAGGAGGACCTAGAAAGTTTGTAGCATTTGTTGCTTGTACACTTGGCTACGGGGCTTTCTGTAAATGATTCATCTGACAGAAACTCATTAATAGGCAAGATACTCGACCTAGGATGCCAGCTTGTCAGTCTCTTCAGTGAACTTCGCCAGGTTTGTAAATCATAATAATCAAAGGCTCGAAACATCTGTTTAATGTCTGCATCAATCTTTTTCAGATGAACCTGTGCTCAACTGTCCGCTTGTTTTGTGTCTAATCGTTGTTTGGATCTTTTCAACCTTTGGCTTGTTGTTCTTTATTTGATATCCTTTGCGTGATGCAGGTGAGCAATGTCATTTTTTCTCTTAGTAAAGCTGCGAGGCTCTTAGCAAATTGGGAGGTTAATGATAAGAACAATCCTAAAATGGTTGTTGGCACTCATGCCTCATATGATGCATATGTTAACTCAGTGGGAACGTTACTGTGCTCGCCAGAATTTAAGGTGGCTGTTCATAAAGCTATCTCATCCATACCAGAGGGGCAAGCAAGTGGATGCAGTCAGCAGTTGGCAGATGCTATATCAGAATCTCTGATATGGATGAAACTTTGTTGCTCCAAGAATGTTGGAGAAGGATCTGGCTGCGTGAATTTACGAAGATGTGCTATAATTAGCTTCAACCTGCACTGTGAATTGTTGGGCAAAGGGTTTTCTGAGATATACAGTTGTTTACTAGATTCCATCACTGTGACAGCCAGCACCAGTGTGGCAGTTGGATCTTGTATAAACAACTTGATGGCAGTAATACGTCTTAGTTTGAGTACTTTGGTTGAACCACAGTTGGGAAGCTTAAGTGAGTTCCTGTTGTCATTATCAAAGAGTAATTTTGATAAGAAATTGATTAATAACATTTTGTCAATGAAGCTTGGCTTGTCCAGCCATTGGGCTTTTGTGTTCTTCTTTCGATTGTACTTGTCATGTTGAAGCCTATACAGACAAGCAATAAGCCTTATGCTCCCAAATTCATCAATAAAGATGTCAGCTTTCATGGGCGATTCATTTACATCATGTTCTGGAAAAGATTGGACTTAGAGGGATGATTTGCCAGATGATGGCTATTTTTCATGGGTTGTCAAACCTTCAGCTTCTGTTCTGACTGTCATTCAATCTGTATCCGATATTTATCTTCAAAATGGTGTTGCGGATTGCTGTTGTCTGGTTTACATATTGCATGCCATGGCACTTCAGAGGCTGGCTGATTTGAACAGGCAGATAAAATCTGCCAGGTATGTGCCACAGAGCAAGAAGGAAATGCTGCTTAACATCTCCCTTGACGTTGCAGACCATTCCACTCTGTGCTGAAAATGTCAAAAGTGGGAAGAGAATATTGTAAACTTGAGACAAGAAGCACAGGGCCTCTCTGATTTCATAATGAGATGCCCAACTTCTCTGGTGAATGATCCATTATTCTCCACTTATTCTGAGGCAAGCACTAATACATGTGCCCAGTCTCCACACGTAAGTTATCAGTGGGATTTTGGTCTAGGCTCTATAAATGAAAAAACATTGCTCACTGCAATTTGGTGGATCATAAGCCAGAGCATAGATATCTGGTGTATTCATGCTTCTAAAAAGAACATGAAGATTTTCCTCTACATTTTGATCCAATCTTCTCTTCCTGCTATAACTGAAAGTCTTTTCAAGCGCAAAACTCCCAGTGAGATGCTCTACAAGTCGGTGCACCAAATCTCATATGAAGTTCTACACGACTCTACTTTTCATGAGCATAGAGTAAGAAATTGCCCATGGTCTTCCTATGATTTGATTACTAATTTTATGTTTAGTTGCAAAAGCATGTCGACGAGAGGATTTTCTCGTTGTGTTTTCATGTGTCTTTGTCTGCCGAAATGTCCTTTTCTTTACTGTTTACACTTCTTTACTTATCGTTATTTTGTGTTGGTATCAATAATTGCCTAGGAATTTTAATCGTCTTTTGAATTAGTTGTCCATAGGCACTTGGCATCAAGGCTTTGTTGTGTGATGGAGCAGTTAGCAGGGTCATCATTTCGCCATGCTTCATCTGGGAAAGTTCATCTCTGCTCATCACCTAATTGGTCTCATTGCCTGATTAAACTTCAGAAGTCATTATCGGTCGATTCATGCAGCAAATGCCACAGCTATTATTCGAAGCGGACTGCTCCCTCATTCAATAAAGAGACAATTGTTGATTGCACTGAAATAAGAGCATCTCAAAGCATGATTTTTGCTGTTTGCATTGGATTTGTTTAATCTTTTTAGTCGGATGCCAAAAGACTACTTAAGTTCGAGATCATTCAAGCGCTATGCAACTCACATTATTAACGTTGAAAGGTAATTTGGTTTCTGTCAATCGATCGGTTGTTCAACACAACTTCTAGCTGAGATTTGTTGTTGGTTTGAAAAATTTTAACAATGATGATGGATGTCAAGAATTCTGAAACTTTTGAGGCAATCCCTCCATGCAGTCAGTATGTGAGAACTTTAAGGGAAAACTGAAGAGTGCCTGGAGAAGATTTTGGATGATTGATATCTTCCTCTGTCCCTTTCTCTTTCTGTTGGTTTTGTGATTTATATCATAGCTTCGTTTGGCCTATAATATTTGCTCAATACAATTCTCAGATGATGAGTTGTTTGTTGTTCTTTGTCTTCTTTTCAAATGCCATTCATATAAATTCTGATTGAGTTCTTTCAATAATCACAAGTTTTGAGAGTAGAAGCCCTGAAACATATACATGTGTGCACTTTAACCTGTGTACATGTATCTGTCGTAGAATAATGAACTGGCATTTGTTGGTCAAAAAAAAGAAAAGAATTGGCATTCACAACACATCAGAGACAATTGCAGCTATAATCCTCTTAGTTTCACTTGTCGCCCATTTTCTCCTCTGCCAAAATGCCTCTCTTTGAACATTCTTGACCTGAGTCAGACATAAATGTGATGGGAGAAACCATTGAACATGCATCAGGGGAAATTCATAGTTTGGGCTTATAATGCTATGTTTCTTATTGAAAAGTGTTCCTGATGCGACATGTTTTTGGTACAGTGGTATCTCAAAACAATTCATAAGCTTTGAGAGTTAGTTAGACAAAAGCTGGACTGAGCTTACTTGATAAATTTCCCCCTTCAAAAGTTGCAGTCTTACCTTTTCTTGCTTAAATAAGTTAATTTTCTGAACAAATCAAAAGCTTGTTATTTTGTTATTTTGTTTTTAGTCTGCCTTTTAGCTTTTCTTTGAGGATTAACTGGTTCGTTTCTTTCTCAGACTTGCAGCTAGCAGCTTACTGGATTTTCCAGGTGCCCCATTCTCATCGAAGCATAGTAAGCACTTCAAGTTGTTCTTATATTGTCAAAAGGCTTTAAAACATTTAGTTGAAGCATCTTTCAGCAATGATATAGAAATAACTGAACATCCACTGTGTGCCGTTATATCTAAAGGATTATTTTCTCTTGTATGGCTTTTCAAGTCAATAGTTGTTGTAAGTGGGCTTCAGGATGAATGGGGAGAATATAATTCTGGCAAAGTGAATCTGTCTTTAATGGACCACACATCATGTATATTCCTAATGTTTAGCAAGTATTACTTTTGTCAAGCACTTTACCCGATTGTAAAGTCTAAATGGCACTGTTCTGACATTGGCCAGGGAGAGACAAATTTAGTTGAACCAGGTTCATGTTGGGATTCTTCTACACATTCTGAAGCTTGGAAAAGCATCTGCCTTGTTGCACAGAGTATGAAAGAAGAGACACAAAGCTTATTTTGTTCTCTAGAAGACTCTTTTCACGCTAAAAAAGCAAATGCTGGTCAGTACTCCTCAATAATGACTAAACTATCTACCATTATATCTTGCCTGAGTGGTTTCTTTTGGGGCTTAGCATCTGCTGTTACCACATTGATGCAAAAGCTCGGGTTCACAAAGTTATATCTCACATTGGAAGCATGAACCTCTTTGCAAGCTCGGCCTCTTTATCGACATATTTACAGATGTAGTTAGTATCTTTCTGCGGATTATGCTTGGTCAGAATGATCAGCAGTTAGGATATTTAGGTCATGAGAAAAGTAGTAAAATGTCGAACTACAACCAGGACATATTGGGAACTGATGTATCGTCACATAGTGACTCTTCACCTGTCCCTAATATATCCAGCCGCAGTGAACAGGATGTTGTAACTGCCTTCTTAGAGTCATCTGGCTTTACTAATCAGTCAGTGGTTACTGATGTTGGCCCTCAGTTGTCACATGTGGAAGGTGATGATTGTGTTGCGAGAATTTCAGATGAAGTTAAGTTGCTTGACCTGCAATATTTAAATAAGCCTTTCTTACAGCAGTTGTTTAAAAGTGATAATCCTGAATCAGCATTTCTGCCCAGGAACTTTTTTATTGGTTATTCAGCCATTCTAAAGCTGAATTTGAAAGACCAGCTCTTCTCTTATCTACAACTTTGGTGCGAACTTTTATGGCAATGGCGCAGTTCCTGATCTTGGAGTTGGTTAATGGTTTTCAGCTGCCATAGCCATCATCATTTGTTTGCTTAGATAGTGTTCTGAAGTATCTGGAAGATTAGGGAGTCATTTTACCTTCACTAATCTCACATTATCCAGAAATGTGTATGCCAGACTGATAAATTGCAGTTGGTGGATCTAGGTAAATGCATTGTGTTACAAGGGAAAAGATATACTTTAATGACTCATGAGACTGGGTCAAGCACCAAGACAATTCCTGGTCATGCGAGACTAAATGGATCAAAAGATTATCCTCTGGAATGCTGCCTGGATGACATCAAAGCAAGGTTGAGAACGTCATTTACCATTTATATTAAGAAGGCTGCAGAGTTGCATCTCTTATCCGCTGTCCAAGCAATAGAGAGAGCATTAGTTGGAGTGCAGGAATGCTGCACAGCTAAGTATGGCATCACTTTTGGAAGGGTAGAAGGGACTGTCTCACCTGTTGTTGCAGCTGGCATTGACTTGTTGGATATGCTCCTAGAAAATGTTTCAGGTAATACTGTGTACATATGTTTAAGGTGTGGTTGAGGGGAAGAAGTTATGTATTCTCGGGTACTTTTTTCAATGAGTAACAAATATAGGAATAAACTCTCCTGAATTGTTGCTTAACTAATATTCACTCTCTGTCGATAGACCAAGTATTAGATATTAATAACTTGATAAATCTCTTTGCCTTTTTTTATTGAGGAACAAATAATTTGATGATCCATGGTTGTTTTACAAAATAACTTGTATAAAATGGAAAGAAAATCTATTGGAAATATAATGGGAGTGAATAATATTGAATCAATGTCATAATCTGATTCCTGGGTGATTTTAAATAGTTATTGTTTCCCTTTCTCTTTTTCTGTTTCAACAATCTATGATGGCTAGAAACACACACATTGAATGAGACAGTGGTCCAATAATCTATACTTTGCTGTATATGTCCAGAATTGTCATTTAAAAGAAAAACCGAAAAATTAGCTATGTCTCCCTGTAATTATACTTCTATATCAGGTGGCAATAGTGTATCTTTACATTTAGATTAATGTAAGCCTCAACCCTTGAATTCCTTCTGTAGGTCAGAAACGTTTGAGTGTGGTCAGAAGACACATTCAAAGCTTTATGGCTGGTTTGTTCATTATAATTCTGCATGTGCGAAGTCCACTAATTTTCTTTGAGAGTCCACCTGGCAAGGGCTTTGGTGATCCTGACCCAGGATCAGTCACTCTTACGTGCATTGAGGTACTGACTAGGGTTTCAGGAAGACGTGCTCTCTTTCAATTGGATCCTTGGCATGTTGCCCAGATGTTACGCATACCTGCAGTGCTGTTCCAGGTCTTCTGTCAGTTTCAACTGAAAGATCCGATTTCTTCCGAATCTTTATTTTCTTTGAAGAATCTTGACATTGATCAGCCGTTTTCAGTGAAGCTACATGCCACCCGTTGTCAATTGCTGTGTACCGTTCTTAAGCATCACAAAAGGTATGTTATGTTTCACAAATTCCTGACACGTGCTCGCAGTGAAAAGTTGGTCAAGAAACTTATTAGTTAATTTAGGTGGCAAAATAGTCGGATTATCTATTGGGAAAAAATTAAGGGGGGGGGGGGGGGGGGTGTGTGTAGGGGGCAGGCCCCCTAGAGGTGTCTTGTGGAGTGAGGGACGAGAAACAAGAACTAGAGAAAGGTTGTTTTCGAAATAATGGCATGTGGTTAATTCAGTTCTTTTCCCACAGCAGTGTACCTCTTCTCACTTCTGTAAACTCTCTGTCTGTCTGTCTCTCTCTCTCTCTCTCACACACACACACAGACAAAAGCATACATACAGGGAGATCATATGCTTACACGAGATATTATTGTCATCTTTCATCGCCCTTTCTTCCACCATCGAGCATTTCTTTGCTGAAAACATACTCTATGGTTGTGTATTTTCTAGTGAATGCGAAAGAGACATTTCTTTGCTTCAAGATTCCACTTCTGTTCTTGTCAATTGTTTGGAGACTGTAAACATGGACCTGGTGGTCAGGCGAGGCTATCTTTCAAGGGATGAACAAGAAGGGGCCAAATGAGCATGTTCTCTCCGGAGGATTTATGAAGAGGTGATTTTGTAGTTAAACCGTTTGCTTTGTGTGGTATTGATACGCTACAATTCCTTAGTTGTGCTTCATGTTCATGGAATTCATATTCTTGTGCGCAAGTTGCTCTGTGGTCTTTATAATGCTGGCAATGAGCATGTGGGGATGCACACCAACTTGGCTGAGAGTTCTTTACTAGATTTTGTGATGCTTGAATATTGTTCAGTTATGGCAAATGTCACCATTGAAGTATTTGTTACATTATTCTTTTTTTTGTGCTTGATCACTCCTCATCTCATTGACATGTTTCCACCACTCATTTGAGTCCCTCTAACTATATGCTTATTGATTTCCTATCGAAAATAAAAAGTTAGGTTTCTTATGTTGGAGAACTTTTTTATCCTTGTGTGTTCAATTGCTCATAATCTCATTGATGAGTTCCTCTTCATTTTACCTCTGTATGACAATTTCTTCAAGCAGAGTGGTTCATTCGAACCAATTGCAATGACCTCATGGACCTTAGTGCTGGGGAGAGATTTATAATATTTGTGTCAAGTTTTCATGCATTAGCATTGAAGAAGCTAGTTTCTTGAAAATGGGTATATGACCTACAAAATGCTGGGAAATTCACAAAACTATGTGACTTTAGGATCCAAATTTGGTCTAGTTGTAGGAGAATGAGATGTAGTTGGAGAATTACGCTTTTCCTAGCAATAAGCTAATAAGCCAGCGCAAGAAGTGCAAGAATGCATTCGTCAATTTGCCAATCATCGGATTGCTTTATTTTACATTTGTCTGTATTTAAGCCTCAAAACAGAAGGGGAGTCTTTAGTTGGCAGTTAACAGAAGATAGCAGAATCTCAGTTTTAACTTTTATGTCCTAGAATGATGATTGATATATGCCTTAGAAGTATCAATGTCCAAACCATGATTTTCATGAGTATGGTACCGTCTTGTGTTTAGTTTTCTTATGGTTTGGTGTTTTCATCCTTTTACAGTTAAGGCAGCAGAAAGATGTATATGGGCGTCATTGTTTAAATTCTTGTCCAGTATATATACATATTCGGAATGCGGTCCCGTTAAGGCTGGATTCAGAAGGTGCCTTCCTTTGGTGTTTCGCTTTAAGTTTGGTTAAGTGAGCAAAGTTAATATTGGTTCGTGTTTTGATGCTGACAGAATGGTTTACTTTTTCACTCTATCAGAGAGAAATAGATGAAGCTTTGAGACCTGGGGCGTATGCTTTAATTGATGCTTGCTCAGCAGATGATCTTCAATATCTTCATACAGTATTTGGAGGTATGCTTTTATAGCTGACCTGGCTGCAAACTATTTTCGATGGACAACATTTTCTTTTTCACGTTTCATAAGTTGCAATTTCCTTCTATATGCAGAGGGTCCTTGCAGGAACACTTTGGTGTCTCTGCAGCATGACTACAAGGTGTACTTTCAGTATGAAGGAAAAGTTTGATGTGAGCATACTTGTTGAGAGGAAAAACTGAACTGAATGCTTGGTTAGGTCTATGTGACCCCAAGCTATCTATTTATAATAAAGCCAAAAAGGCCAAAATTACAATATTACCCTTATTGCTGCAATATATAAAATAATAAAGGAAATAGACAAATATGCCCCTATTAGCCAAGTACTCTCAACACTCCCCCTCAAGTTGGAGCATAGATATCACACATGCCCAACTTGACTAAAACAAGATGAAATGATTTACTCCCCAATCCTTTAGTCAACATATCAGCAAGTTGATCACTGGACTGAACAAAGGGCATACAAATTAAACCACTCTCCAACTTCTCTTTGATAAAGTGCCTGTCAATCTCCACATGTTTTGTACGGTCATGCTGTACAGGATTGTGAGCAATACTAATGGCAGCTTTATTATCACAATATAGCATCATAGGAATAGGAACAGGAACAGATACACCAAGATCTTCAAGTAATCCTTTAAACCATAACAGTTCACAAACTCCATGTGCCATTGCACGAAATTCTGCTTTAGTACTAGATCGAGCAATCACATTTTGCTTTTTGCTACGCCAAGTCACAAGATTCCCTCCTAAGAAAGTACAATACCCAGAAATAGACTTTCGGTCAGGAGATCTAGCCCAATCAGCATCTGTATAGGCTTCAACTTTCAAGCCATAACGAGGAGATAAAAGAATCCCTTTTCCGAGAGCAGACTTCAAATATCGAAGGATTCAAAGAAC